CCCCGCTTCTGCCATGCAGAAATTCATTAATTAGCCCGTCTAGTCTTTCATGTGAGCCTTTCCTTTCATGCCCAGCGCCAGAAGGTATCCGGTAAGTAACCGGCGAAATCTGCAGCAGACACTCATTATGAAATCAGTGCTGCTGGATGGTTTAAAATACCTGAACAAAATGCTGCGGCACTAGTGGAACACATACATCGTGACTGTTTTATGCCTGTAAAATTCATGTCAATCAATCAATGCCTTAAATAAACATGCATTCAATCAACTGATTCAAAAAAGGAAGCGACATATAAGTAATGAACTGTTTGGGGCTTTAAAACTAAATAATTTCACCGATAAATCAGACAGAGAATCTCCTACTGTGAGTGAAATTCAGTGGATATGCTATCAGCCAACCATTATCAAAATCAGGTGGCGTGTCACATGACTAATCTGAAGCAATATGGCTGCTGTGCAGCGCTCATTTGCAGACGCGACAGCAGTGAGTGTGTGTGTGTGTGTGTGTGTGTGTGTAATGAGCTCCCCTGACTACCCTCTACCGCCCCTGCCAGCCTTCCAAGCCCAGGCAATCCAATCATTAGCAAGCGAATAGAAAATGCTTAAGGGTAAAAGGGTGGTGGGGAAGGGGGGGGGGGTGAGGTAGGCAGACAAAGGGGAGAAAGGAAGGATAAGGAGGAAGACAGTGAGAGAGCGACTGCTGCATTTAAAACGAGGAGGAGGGTGCTTTAACTGCCCAATCTGTATCACAGCTAAGACCCTATAGGCGAGTGGGTGAACATAAAGCTTCGGTTCTCCCTCCTCCGCACTGAGCTTCTGGAACCATCCATCGCTTTCCAGGTCCAGGCCTCAGCACCTTTCAGTGGTAAATACTTGAATATGTATGGAAAGACAAACAGCTGGATGTGTGAAATCATAACTACATGGGAAGATTACTGAAGCTGAGCTTCTGCCCTGGGGCCCCCTAAGGTTTCTCTCTGGGGAACCGCAGGCCGCCCCCATGGGACGTCAGGCGGCCTACTTCCTGTCTGCAGGACGGCATGAAGCAGCAATAATGAGATGGATCGCAGAGATGGAAACAAGCACCCGAGGACAGTCCCAGCTCCACCCTTCTGCGCTTCGAATAGAGCAGCCCTGCAGTCACTCTATTCAGCCGTGCGCATAAAGGGCTCATTAGTGAACTGAAAAAAGGGCATTTGTCATAGCATTGGATTAGGAACATTAGGAAAACCAAATATTACATTCATCCTGCTTATATGTATGGGTGACAGCTTTCACTACCATATTACAGTGATGAGTCATTCCTAAACATTTCCTCCACAAGACTATCCATTTCTTAACCAGGCCCTGATTCATTAGTTCTATGGATTTTTAACAAGGCTCAGTGTGGCACTTATGCATATTTATTTGGCAAACGAAATAAAACAGTCTGATGTTAGTAAGTACTTGGCTGTTTGCCCATGTAGCGTTTCAATAATACATGTTGGTTAAGCCTAGGTGTGACCAACACTCACAACGCACAAATAATGCTTCAATAGTTAATGTCCACCTTTGCCTCCTTTGACATTTTCTCAGTTTCACTTCTCTGCCAATCCATTTTAACCCCAGAAAGCTGTAATATGGGGTATCAAAAGGGGAATAACAATCTACTTTCAGCAACCCTATGGCTGAGACTAGTATAGGCTAAAAGCACTTAGGAAATCTAAATGCCCTTCCGTAAAAACAACACGTTGTCTTGCTGTGTAATAGGGGGTGATGAAGGGGCCCTGGTCACTCACTCACAGCTAAAAAAAGAAAATAAAAACTAAAAAGTGACTAGTGTTTATTATCAAAGGTCTCCAGAACATGATGAAGTACAACAAAGGGAATTTCAAATAAAACACAAAACGTGTGACACAGAAACTGTAATGTGACTAACAGGAGAGATAATCTGTCTACAAAGCCAGACAAACGCACTGTGTAGGACAGAGAGGTCCATCTGTCAGGTGGTGGGAGGGGGACACCAGTGCGGCATCCTCCCCCGTATTCTGGTGCTCCTGCCCATTGCACTTTTACACGGGGGCTGCGACCCTGCGGCCCACGGGCAGAAACGGCACCGCCAGGGACCCACCTCGTGACAATGACAAGGAAAAGGTGCCCAGTTACTGCATCACAAAGAATATGACTATTACATTGTTCAGGGGTGTTTCTAGCTATTGGAAAAAATCAGGGGTTAAGTCAAGTTTACCCGGGGCTTGATTGGAAGATTGGCATCGAGGCTAAAATACTTGGCTATAGCCCCAAGTGATCGGACCGAACAATGCCCATGGTGTTGTTTATTCTGAGGATATTTCAATGTGTAGCATGCCGGTAATGGAAGCTAATCCAAGAGTCGCCGGCTTAAATCCCAAGAGGAGCCTAGTTGTAGGACCTTTCAGCGAGGCTAATCAGCCCTAAATCTTCCAGCTGTATGAAAGGGTAAAAGTCACTTTGCATAAAAGCATCTAAAGGTTTCTTTTAATATACATAAGTACATAAGCTAAATCCATTATCGGGAAAACCAGGACCGGTACCAATGGTATCACCTTGTGATATATGCGGGAGCTATTGATCGTTTCGATAACCCAGTTAGCAAAGCAGATCCCTGCGGAGTGAGTAGACCAGGGGAAAAAGGCGAACAAAGGTAAACTGATTTAAATAATATTCAGTGGAGAGCGACCAGCAGACCTACTTTATCTCCTGCTGTACAGGCAGCAGTCGGTCGATCCTTAAATTATTCAGGTGGTTTTTGGTTCGCCAAATGGGAAGCGGGGCTTTAACTGCAGCCCGTCTCGTGGCCGAGCCAGACCAGCTGCTGGAATGTCTCCTACATGCATGATCATGCATTTCTTTGTTTCTCCGCGCTAACTGACTGCAGCTTAGTGCCTCCTCAGGAATGGCTGCAAGAATGATGTGGGACTGACAGAGGGGGGTATGGCTCCATAAAGCACCCATCTTCAATCAGGGGAAATAGGGGTGGAGGAGGGAGGTGTGAAATATATATACGGATGCACAGGACATATCGCTTCCCATGTCGGTTCAAAACAGGACACTGCATTTTAATGTTCAATACAGGACAATTCAGTAATATATGGGACAGGATTTCGAGCCAGTGCATCTCTTAGACAGATGTTTCTCAACTGGTGACCCAAAATTAAGTCACAGAGAGCCTGGTTTAATCCCCACCAGTCAGCAACTATTATTGTGAATTTGTGACTTACTGACCAAGGAATGATTTGGGTTCTGTGGCTAAATCAGTTTAAAACCTCAGGAAGAGACCATATATGAAAGTAGAGTTATCATCCCACAGACAGGAAG